CAATTTAGTGATAAAAAACACAGTGAATATACCTTTTCACTTTTTGAAGTACACATAACACTCGGATTTAAATCCGAGGTTTTCGCATTTATTTGTTTTGAGTTTAAAGTGACCGTACTCAATTGCATTATGTTTAACTTGTTCAAAAAGAAGAAAAAAAATTGCCCCTTAATGAAGCTCTTTATTTATAAAAAAAATTGTGATTAATACCATAAAATATACATCAGCTATTCTAAAAAAAGAATTAAAAGTATGGTTCATGATAGTACAAGAATTGATATTGATCACACCAACGTTTGATCTCATCGCCCATGACAGGTTTGCCTGTAAAGAAGACACTTGTTTTTTTATGTTCAGCTTTAAATTCGGCAAATAACAATGACCATTGTGGTCGACCTAAAATTGTTTTTGTTTTCATTTTCGTGAGAACGTCACAACTTGATACATGCTCATAGACTTTAACGGCAAAATCAAAAGGAGCACATCCAATCATTCGTTGATTGTTACTTTTCAATGATGTGAAATAGAAATGAAAGTCAATATAACGTTTTGGAGTGACATTATTGGCTCGTAATGTTTCAAGATAAGTTAATTGTTCATTTTCGAAGTCATTCAATAATTGAAAAAACCAAGAAAAATTCTCGACATCACGATTTACCCAAATAAAATCTACTTTTTGTAATTTACGTTGTTGAATAGCATCATGATTGTAATTCACATGACGACAATGCTCACAAATTGTTTGTTGTTTTCGAAAATAGTGCATCAAACTTTCGAGAGCACTTGCATATGGAGTAATGCCTGAAGAAAAATAATAAATACACAAACATGTTTCGAACAATTACATGGTGCGACATTTGTCTATCAATTTAAATAAAAATGATATGTTACAAGCAGCTTTCTAATATTTCATCTCCAATAAAGATCTCAATTGGTTGAATTTGATTTGAAGACATGGACAGATTCTGTTCTTTTGATGTTGCATGACCTCTTGAACTGTTAGGTGAAATAGCACGATTTACTTAAAGATTGTTTTTTTTGAGAACAAAAAAAAAATTGATCGATTGTTGACATGAAGTAAATTCGACCCATCCTCGGAATAAAAGATCATGGCCTTCTTTGGTAGAAATCTATATCGCTCTTGCAAATGTGGCCTTTTATTCCAAACTATTTTCTTTTGCTGACAACTACCTATTAAGTCAATGATTTTTGAAAAACTCTTTGAATATTCAAACAGACACTTTCAGTTAATAAATACCAGAAAACAAGAAGTATTAAATAACACTTGCTGGATTTTCGGAAAAAACCTTTTTGAAACACTATGACATTCTATTACGTCTTGATGCAATTCTTCTTATAAGTGACCCTTACGTATAAGATTACATTTCACTTTGCAGAATGCATCTGAAAATTTCAAATTCATACGGCATGACTAAACTCCATGAATTTCATGGGTAGAAACAAGAATGTAAATATTTAGTTGAATACGCCCAGATGGATTTGAATTGTATAGAAAACAATTATCTGTCTTGGATTTTGTCGTCTGAATTATTACAGACCCACCGATTTTTAATTAGTCTTTGAATATTCATTGCATAATCTATTGAAAAATTTCATGTGCTAATCATATTATTTTCTTCTTTAGTTCTAGACATTGACTTATGCTATAATTTTGTTCTTAAACAGAGTTATAAATTTAAAAAACTCATTGAGAATAATATAGAAAAGCTTTTCTTCTTTTGATCTAATGAGATTTCGATAGCGATTAAAGAAGTATTATCCTTAATAAATTATCATATTCTCAGTTGCTTTTAATAATATTTTATCATCTTATTTCAAAATATGATATAGAATCAAATGTATGTATGACTCAAGTTAAGGAGTTAGGAATATTTTTTTTCTATTATGAATAGAAGAAATTCTATTCAATTAATTAAACAAAAGTTGGAAATGATCGTAATAAATTATTGTAATATGATATTGGTACATACCGATGCCTGCTCCAATTAGAACAACGTGTTCACAATTGAACATATACGATGTTGAACTGCTATAAGGTCCTTCAATCCAAATGGATTCAGTACTGTTCAATAGATACGGATAATTTGTTTGAGGGGTAGGCGTGTTAGTGGTCACTGATGCTACCTGTACTGTAGAATTTTCGTCGTGTACATTTTGACGTTCCCACTCTCGATAAAAATGATTATATACTTTTCGTGTCCAGTTCTTTTTTTTCATCATATGAATTCGTAAAATCTCTTTATTTTCTGGACAGCTCGAAATTGTAAACGGATGCCATTGATGTGAAGCTAAAATACATGAACATTCATATTATTTATCTGAATCATTAATGAATTTTATTGTTACCTATTCGAGGAAAGCAAATATAAACATAGTCGCCTATGTTAAAGTTAAAATAGACAGGTCTCTTAATTATAAATGATATTGCACTATTATCTTCAATTTTAAACGATTTCAAATGTGTTCGACCATTTTGTGGTAAATAACGTTTTAGTAAATAGATTTTTTCACACATGTATAAAAACATGGGTCCACATGTCCATTTCCAAAATTCTCTTGAATGAATAACAAGAAGAACGAAGATGGGCCAAAAGAGTAAATGTGAATAGTAAAAAAACATATAAAATCCTTCACGTTGACGAATACATTGCAATGAAAAAATAATCATCAACAAAAATAAGACAAGAAGAATATTGCCAGTTATAGCAGCCGATCCATTTACCCAACCTTGCTGTCGAATAGTCGTAAACATTGATTGAGAGAATGAAAACTCTAAATGAGAATTTTAAAAAAATTTATCGTAGTCAGCGTGTCTAATTCGTTAATGAGTAAGTGTGAATGGCAGTGGATATTCGTGTTCTTTTTTAAACACTCTCACCCACCCTAAAATACTGTATGCCTGCTAACATACCGACATTGGTTATCTATATGCAGTGACGCAGCCAGAAATTTTTTTGGGGGAGGGGGACCGCAATAGAAAAAGGATTTTTTGACTAGCAAAAACGAATTAGCTTGTACCCCCCTCCAGGCATTTCGGTCTTTCGGGGGGGGGGGGGGGGGGCGATCCCCATAATCCCCCCCTGGCTGCGTCACTGTCTATATGGATCATCAGAAGGCCTATGATCGTGTGTGACATTGAAAAATGATAATATCCTGGTTAAAAGATAAAATGTTCGAAGAAAAGTCATCAGAAAATTTTTATATAAACATCGAACTGGCTCAAAACAGTACTTTTAGCCCATACTTATTTATCATGTTTGATTGTGATTTAGTTCAATATATCGGGATGCATTCATATAAATCTTTTTCAGGTGATTTTTGTGTTATTGAAAGACTTCGCTGTCTCAAGAAAACGGGCACCGATGATCAAATATTTAGAACAAGAAGGTAAGCGAGTACGTGATCAAATATTTGCATATTCAAAAAAAAAATGGAAACAACCTATAAATGCGTCAAAAACAGTGGCACAATTGTTACATACATCAGCAAAGATGTCAAGAGTACATATAGGAATGAATGGGCAAAGACTCAAATTATTAAATGAGTTTAAATATCTAAGATTTACATGGACAAATATATCATCCTTGAAACCAACATTTGATAGATGTATAGGACACATTCAAAAATTCATGGGGAAGCTTAAATGATTAAGACCAAAACGCTACATCCAACAAAGGCGCTTTTTCTTTTGCATACACATTACTTCACTTGACATGGTTATTTTTCTTCTTCTTCCTCTTTCCTAAGTCATAACAATAACTATTACAGCAGAAATTCTCAGTTGGTCTTCGATTGGTGCATCACTGCCCCATTGTCTCCGCTCATAATCTATAAACTATGGCTAACGAACTCTCATTAGACGCTTACGTTAAACATTATATTCAAAGATTAAAATGTATGCACATAATGGATCTTTGTCATTCACTGTTCTATAATAATATTTTTCTTTGGAATGAATTTCATAAAAGAGAGAATATGTTCGCCTTGATCAGGTTTTTTGTAGCAATCGCATAAGATAATTGATAGAAAAACATGAACCACTTCTCTTAAGATGGAGGCTATTTATTCAAATAAAGTAGTTGTATACAAAAAATGGCATGCAGAATCCTTCTCCTTCACTTTCTTTTGCTTCTGCTTTTTCCTTTTTTTTCTATCCTTGAAAGGTTTATAAGCATTCTCCTTCATTTCTTTTTCTCTTCTCTCTTTCGTTTACTTACTTCTTCTCAAATTCTAAAACTTTTATTGTTTTTTTTCTTTTTATTTACTCTTCTACACGAACAGATTCAGTACTCTATACAATAATATTGATAACGACTATAAAACTCGTTGCATTTTCTATGTTGTGTTTAATGTTTAAATATCATAATTTCTCCTATTATTATCATGTAAGCATCTCCGAGTGTTACATTTACGAGCATAATAAAAAAAAAATATCTATATACATTTACTCAAAAAATGAAATCTTAATTGTTCGTATTTTTCAATAAGTTACTCTAGTTTCTATTATTCGATTGACAAGCGTGAAAACTAGCTTTATATTTATCGTAGTATAATATGAACTGAAACAACTTAAATTTTCTCAAACAAAAAAGGCAAAGATATTTTATCATTCATAGAAAAAAAATAGCTATTACATTTGAGAATTGACTCTGATATAATTACAATTGAACAAGCTTGAAATATAATCTTCTGTGTAAATAATGTGATTCTTTTGTGCAGCCCAAGAAAACGCAAAATTTTTGTATTCAAAGTTGCAAATTTCGTATTGATATTTGTCTCAGTTTCTTAGTTATTTCAGAATACACTGAGAATGAATGAAAATTTAACTTCCTCATCGACTAGCTAAGAATAGTAGAAATTCTATGTAGTTTGTTTTGGACAGGTACATCTAATTTCATTAAATCTCAAAATGTCTATTTATTGAAAAATGTAGTTTTTTTTTTCAAAGAAAGTCAATGTAATTCCTTATTTTTACACTGTGACTGAGCTCGTCTTTGATTTTGCTATTCAGAAAAAGTGTACTGTTGAAAAAAATGAAGTTATCATAATTAATTTATCTAATGCAAAAGTCTTTGACGGTTTAGAATAGCTTTTGAATTTTAAATATTTCTGTCAACTTACCTTGAGCATTTGCAGCGTAGTTTATGACATGAGCTAATGAATGAACTACAGTGTAGAATACCAATGCACCTCCGACATAGCGATGAGCATCAATATGATCATCCACAGGTAGAAAGCGTCTCAACCATCGAAGTGCTCGTATTAATACCATACAATGCTTGAGCATGAGTATAATCGAAAGGACAAAATTGAATTTGATTGAACATCCAGCAATATGTGCAAGAACGAGAAAAACATTTCGATTTTGTTCCTTAACGACCAATTCAATTATCACAGAAATATCTAAACCAATTGTGGCTAGTATGTATAGAAGAATAATGAGAATATGACATTTGTTGTTTTTTCGACATGCTTGGCATTTTAATTTATCAATTTGATCATCATTATTTGGAATGTTGATAAGTTGAAGAGATTCTAATAAGTGTGGTGTTTCTTGAAAAATTGTATAAAATCGCTCGAAATTCATTTGAGAATTAGCATTGTGCATTCGAAATGCTTGAAGGAATGTATCGATTAATTCTTGACGACGTGAAGAATCATGAGGAAAACGAAATTCAATGAGATAAGTTTCATAAAATTCCTTTATTTCTTCAACAGACACATGTTTATCACCGTTACGATCGAATGTTTTGAATAGAATGAGCGCTTTGACTGATATTGGCGCCATGGAAAGTACACGAGCAATACGAATAATACGCTTACCATCAATTGAATCTGCTTGAATACATGATGTGTCTTCAAATATATCAAGCAAACGTTCTCCTAAAGAGATACAAAATTATTCTCAAAATCAAAAAAAAAAATTCAATTATATTTACCATGTGTCTTCGTCAATTGAAACAGTTCATAAAATTGTTTTATTGTAAATTTCTTGTCACTTATGTCACCATTAAAGTGTTTGCGAAAACTATGATAATCGCGAGTCGGTATTTTTTCATTGAGCAGCTCTTGCAAATGATGTTCAGCGTAATCATATACATTTTGCTCGTTCACATTAATTGAATGTCGCCTGAATATACGCAAAAACAAAATAATTAAAAGTAGATGTAAGTTATTTTTATTTAAAGACTACAGCAACAATTACCGTAATGATACTAGTCGATAGATAGGAATTCTAAACAATAAAATACCAATTAGAATATTACTCTTCAGTTTTACAAGAAAGAAAAGTTATCTCACATCGATAACAATGAAGTTTTGATTGCATTTGGAATCGACGATTCATTTCTGAGGATCTGTGACACAAGATAGATTTAAAAAGTCATTGGTTTATTATTGATCTCGTCTGAGAACATGTTTACCTGTTGTGATGAGCGTCTATTTGTTGACTTTGGTGCAACATCTAGATCGATCACAACATCTTTACTATTTACAGTGGATATTGGTGGTTGAAGTGGTTTTTGGTTCGATTGTATATTTGATGAAAAAGCTATTGGCAACGATATCGCTTTTGTAAGTTCAGATGATTGATTTGCATTTTGAGAACTTATTAAAACAGAGGAATTACATGATTTTTTGCCTTGGCTCAAATTCCTTTCATTAATTTTTCGGAAAATCCTGAATCCTATGAAAATTTGATACAATCCATAGTGTTTAGCAGCATGCATCATCATTAAGACTTAGTGCCCAAAAGAATAAGGTAGTGCTAAGCAGAACATGCTTACTATAGTGTCATCTAAATACATCCTACTGATAAGTACTTTTTAATGATAAAAAAATATTGCTAAACACTATGTCATCCTGCGAAGTACTACGAGTTGGATATTTTTCATTAAAATTTGAATTGTTAGGAAAATTAATGAAAGGAATATGGGCTCGGTTTGAAGCTCAGATCTCTGAAACAAAATAAATGTTCAAGACTGCAGTCAGGATTAGAACTCAGTTCATTGCTTTCTGTATTGATTAGGCCAGAAGAAACATGACAATTCTGTTCGTATTTTGTCCTCACATATTTGCTTTCAATGCATGACTTTTAAAGAAAAAAAACAGTACTTGAATTTTTGTACGGTGGTATTGCTATACTGTAGACATTTTCTTTTTCTTGCTTTCATTCTTTCTTCTCCTTCTTGTCCATAAGAGATGAAGGTGAAGAGAAAGAACTATGATGATCGTCATAATTGAAAGTATTCATCTGTCATCGTATATTAATGGACTTATAAAAAAGTACAATACTATTATAAAATAGAAAAATGTTTCAATTATCATTACAGTTGCCGATCAACAACATGAAATTTTGTCGATTTTTACTTTTCATCAAACTTTCGAAATTTCACGGAAGTTTTAAATAGGAACATTTTATTTTGAATATCGAAGAACAATGATTAGTTTGAAACAAAACTAATAAACAAATGTGGTTTTAATAGTACTATTCACTATAATAATGTCAAAGAAGTTTTCTTTCTTTTTATTATATTAAGTAGTTAATTTTCTCTTGATGCGAATCAGTTCAAAAAAGCTTGTCAGCGCAGTCCCTTTGGCGCCAAAATGTGAAACTCACATATGCTCTCTAGCCTCATTCAACTAATAAAAAATACGTAAACTGAAAAATCTCTCTTAGACTATAGTTGTTTTGCAGGATAATCAATCACAAGAGTAAGAACCTTTCTAATTTCTGCATTTCGAACAGAAGTTTTTTTTAAATTTTTTCTATGAGCGCCCTATTTTTTGTTTGCATTGTTGCTATTCGCTCATTATTTTTTATTTCTTTTTAATTTGTTTTTCTTAATTTATCATTCTTATTATTATAATCATTGAATTAATTGATAAATAAGTGTGTTTTACATATCTATGATATCAACAGCAAATCTTACATACTGTCATATATATTAATCAAGTCACAAATAATAATATTCATTATTTTTCAAAATTACAACTTAATCAATTTTCCAAAAAACAAAAACTCTAGAAAATCTAACGCCTTTTATTATTGATTGTTAAGGTTTGTAATGGGGGGGGGGGGGGGGGGGGGGGAAAAAACCTACCCGTTAACACACCCCCCGCTCCTTTTCTTCAGAATAAGTTGGTGTTTCCCGAAAGAGGA